CACACGCACAATAAAAAATTCTACTTAGTTATGGGTTGAGAAAGACAATAAAAGACTAAGTTACTGCAAATAAAATGAGAGAGAAGCAATTCATTTTGCTAGGTCACTGCAACCCAAAACCCCAGATATCAAACCCAAAAGATAACCCAAAATGCAGTATTGCTAGAAATTAATACAAACTTAACAATCAGATGGGAATGGGACATCAAGATTTAGGAAAAGCTTCATGCTTCATGTTACATGGTATGAGATATTGAAACTTTTGTTATTGCCTCAACTCCAACAAGAAACGGGTTGTAGTCCAAACTCTTAGGGGGAAAGGCAAAGCAAAAATAAGACAAAACATTTAAACAATCCCAAGAGCTAATAAATTTGACCCATCTAATGCATCATATGTTAATTAATCAAATTTAAATTGCATCTTTATTCTTGTTAACAAAAACTGTTGAGCAGTGCTCTTTTGGAAACTCTAAATAGTTATTACAAAAGTACAAAGAACTAAATGATATTAACAGATTACTCTAGACATACACAACCTGACTCACCATAGATTACCACTCTAGATTTGTTACAAAGCCAATTATCCAGACATATAAAGGATGAGATTCTATGTTAGGAGGAAAAGTACACAGAGAAATAGGACACACATGCACCTAGAGATGACATATCAATGAGAAGAAAATGAATAAATAAACTGAGATGCTGAGCATTAAATTGTTCTATATTTCATTATCATACCACTTGCCTTAGATGGTTTAAATCTTCTCTGGCTATAAAGGACAATATTTGTTCCATCCACCACTGCTTCAAATGGACCGTAGTAGTCGAGCCACTTCAGCAATGCAGTGCAGGTACTTTACATGAAATTATGTTTTTTCATGACAGGTGACACTTAGAAGAATAGTGTTCCAATCTTTTGTGGAAGGCAGAAAGGAATATCTGAAGTTAGGATTAGCTATGCTGCTTTCTTCCCATGTGCCATATCATGCTCCACCCTACTTCTTTCTTCCCATGTGCCATTCATCTGCATCTATTGCCGGCCCAATGCACAGGAAAGTCAAGAACATCATAAGGCAGCCAGAAAAATATTGTTTCGGATCAAGAAATGAGGCTGTTAAGACTCACCATGCATTCCATTTCTCCAACAGAAAACAAGCCATCCTTGGTTACTTCTGCAAAACAAGAATAACAATTCCCAATTGAAAAGAAATTTTTTTAAGGATCTTCCGATTTCCAAACTTAAAAGATCGTGGAAAACCAGAGAGGTTTTGTTATAAAGGACTGACCATTGCGCTTTACTCCAAGGTGTTCCAACAATGCATCTTCAATTTCTCTAGAACCACATATCATGCAGGGTGTTGTACCGCATACCAAAAGGTGGTACTTGCCAACCTGAAAGGCGAGCAGTTCACCATGTAAGCTAAAGTTGATGAAACAATGATTGGCCCATACAACATATTTCATGAATTTTATGTAGAATATCTCACCTTTGTTCGGTTAAACATTGAATAGAATGTTGCAACCTCATAAACACGAATTGGAGCAACTTCAATAATCTTAGCAACCTTCGTTACAATAGGATAAATTACGTGAGTGTATAATCAAATGTACAGTAGTAAATTTTATTCATAAAAATACTGCACAGGAGCAATAGATATGGCACCACTTTTCAGAAATCATTGGATCAACATTGGACATGACATTGTTTATTTCATTTCACAGTTTACACAAAATAACTATAATATGACTACAAAAATAGAGTGATCACAGGGAAAACTAGTTCAATAGCTTATACTATTTTGGCAGGATAGTTATGAGCTAAGTTTACGTCTATTTGTCCAAAAAAATTTTTATGGGAATATAGTTCAGCGTAACAGTTCTGATAAACCTCTTAGGGTCCATTTTGTATGGTTGTTGGGGGTAGAGCCTCTGAATCTATAGATTTCATCAGTAATGCTTCTTAACATATGATGCATTCCAGCTTCTATACTTGCTTTCAAAAAGTGCCTCGAGTTCAGGCTCCTCTGGATAGACACCGTGTTCTAACATGTGTTTTTCAATCATAAACGCTTTATCAAGATCTCCTTTACTGCAGAACACAGCTAGAGCAGGCCCATATGATCTCAGTCGAGGATTTATCCCCAATTCCATCAATTCATCGGAAACTTTTCCGTACGCATCTCCTCGTGGATTTAAAACCCCTTCTGGAGTGCGAATCTCTTTACATCCTCACTCACTTGAATTTCATAACCTGTTTGTTCATCTCTATCATCTTTAACATTTGAAGAAACAGCAGCATTCTTCTTCATCAATTGAACTAAATCATCCAAAGTTTTAGGGTAAAGCTGCATTGTCCAATTCACCACCGAAACTCTTACTTTTACATTGTTAATAAGC